AGTGCTTGTAACAGCCTTCGAGGTAAACGTTGACACCAGACGTGTTCGGGGCAGCCTTGAGCGTCCCATTTGCTAGAGAGGTGACCTTGCTTAGGTCCTGATGGCTCCAGACCTCAGACGTGAAGCAGTGACACATACGTGTAACATGTAAGGGGTTGTTGCTAGGTAACCATGAAACAGATCTGGTTCTAAGGCATAAACTATAAAATACAACAGGAATCTGGTTGGCTTCATTATTTTTAGCAGGAGACTGATAGTTAATAAGTCAGAGACCTGTCGCTTATTATAAAAAGGAAAATAACTTTCTTTGTTGTTACTTCATCTGAAAAATGGGCATAATACCTATCCTTATTTTTCTGATGAAATCATATAAGAGTAACATGTGTTTGTTAAACCCTCGGAGGAGAATGGATTTGAACTCAAAATTATTTTATGATGAGTATTACTATTAACAATAAATTTTCGATTCAGCCTCCACTGGGTGAGGGGTAACTATATGTTGGCAGTGTCTTCCTTGAACAGCCCAGTAGGCATGGTCTGGCTAAGCCCCGCCCACTCCCTGGCCCAGCCCCACCCTCCGGCCCTGGGCAGCTTGTGCCTGGCCTCCCTTGCACGGGGAAGGTGGAATGGTGTTAATTTGGTGTCAAAATAAGGAAGTTAGAGGTTATCTTCTCAGTTATCATCCTATAAGTGAGCAACTAGCAAATTAGGAGGTGAAATAAAACATATGAAAGCATGGGTGAGCCCATTTAATGGACATAGTGTGTCATGGGACCAAACTTAGAGTTGCTATCTAACTTGTCACTTCTCAGTAGAATTCTGCTCTGTCACGTCTGTGCGAGTGGAGTATAGAAGGTAGGCCAAGTGAGATGATGGTTTAACATCGTGTCTTACTAAGTAAGGAGCCTACGTTTTTATTGGAAAGTATATTCTTACCGCACGAGGCATCAAAGGAAAAGTCACTTTGGTTTTTACGATTCTGTAAAGGACGTGGCAGTGCACTCGTGGTTCTGTTAATTAGTATGTAAACGGTGAAGCAGGAAACCACAGCCGTGGAGGCTCTGTAGAGACTGACTTCCATCGAATGTGCCTGAAAACGCGTCTGCAGTAAAATTCCTCGTTTGTGCCGTACAGTCCCCCCCTTACCTGAGGAGCACACATTCCAAACCCCCAGGCGAGGCTTGGGACCACAGAGCACCTGAATGTGCTGTGTTTTTCCTGTACACACATGCCTGTGGCAGCTAAGTTGATAAGTTAGGCACAGTACGAGAATAACAACAGCAATAATACAAGAGAACAATTATAACAGTGTATTGTACTGGAAGTTATGCGAGCGTGGCCTGCCTCCCCCCCGCCCCCGCCCCTCTCCCCCTATAACTGATCTGATAATCGAGAAGGCGAAGTGACTGGTGGACTGGGGTGGGGGTGGGGGTATAGAGTGGATACACTGGGCAAAGGGATAATGTGCCTCCTGGACAGGGCAGGGCGGATGGCTAGACAGAGATGTCATCGCGATAGTCAGAATCGCGTGGATGCAGGACTTAAGAATTGTGTATTTCTGGAATCTCCCATTTACTCTCTTCAGACTGCAGTTTAAGGTAAAACCCGGGAAAGTGAAATCGTGGATGAGAGCGCGCTGTATCAGTAGGTTCTAATGGAACTAACCTGCCAGCAAAGCTTCAGTGTCTTTCACTAAAGAACCACACTGGCAGTTCTGGTTGGGCCGAGGGGGAGCAGACGGAGCTGAGCGATGAATGGCATCCTGCAAGACCCCGTTTCTGTTATGGTGCATTTTGGGGTTTCATGGAACATAGAGTGTTCACTCTTTTCTACAATTCATAAAGACCGGTGGTTCTTAAATTCTTTGATCTCAGGATGCCTTTACACTTAAACATGATTGAGGACCACGAAGGACTGTGATCCATGTGGCTTATTATCTATTGATAGTTTCCATATTAGAAAAAAATTGAGAAATGTTTTAAATGCAAGAATAGACACGGATTCTCCCAGCTCTCAGAGGGATAACGTCATGTGCCAAGTAGCCTCTAAACACTCCGCCGGACACACGTGGGCCAATGAGTCTGCAAAGGGCTAACAACATCGAACGTTATTGTGAAAATAGCGTTGACCTAACAGACCCCCTGAAAGGATCTCCTGGGTCACACTCAGGAACCATTGGTACAGAGGACAGGCTATAAAACACACGACTCTGAGATCTTACGAGGCTCTTATGATCTCAGGGTCAAAACATCTCTTCAAACATGTCGGATGTATTCAGATTGTGATCTGGGCCAGTAAGTCTTGTGTCATAATCCAAGGCTGTGAGCATTACCTTTCCAGGCTAATACCTCGGAACATGCACAGCTGGTCTTCCCATTCCTTAGGCGCAGCACTTACTAGTGTAGTTAGCACATGATCCTTCTCTATGTGGTAAGTCTGTTGTAGGAAACATGTGACCATTTATCGTTAGCATGTGATCCTTCTCTATGTGGTAGATGCAGATCTGTCTGTTTCAGGAAACCCCCAGTAGCAGCAGTGGCTTTCACCTCCAGTATCTTAAGAAAAATGGATGAGAATTAACTTTACTTTTTCTAGTTTTGAGTGTGTTCGGATTTTTATACTTTAACCTTAGGGGTTCCCAGTCCTATGTGTTTGCTTTCATTACCCAAATGACCTTTTACCCCTGGGTTTAGAGGGAGCAATGAATGTGATTTTTAGATCTTGATTTCTTTTATTTCTTGTATAGAACATGAGCATGATACGTATACAAAAACCATAGTACAATTTTTTAAATTTCTAGAATGAGGGGGGAATGGACTAAAATGAAAGCAACCATAGAAATCAAGGTTGGTAACCAAAATAGCAACAGAGCAGAAAAATGAATCTCTGGCATCAGCCCTCGGTAGGTCATGCCTTGATACACGAAATAAATGCAGATTTTAAAATTGACGCATGTCATTCCACTTGAATTCATCTATGTCTTTATGCCCCTAAAGGTTAGGACGAAGGACTTTCCCGAAAAGGTTATACAACTAAAGCCCCAAGAACTGAACTCCTGTTGGAGATTTGAAGGAATGTGGTGTCTTTGCTTCTTGCGTCAGAGTGAGGCTAGGAGGCTCCATCTGTGAGCCCCCACCTGCCCCGTGCATGGCCACGGTGTATCTTTCCACGGCGCCTACATGATGTCATGATTATACTATGGAATTTGCATTTCTTTCACTATTTACCTCCAATTAAAAACACAAAAGCCTCTCTTTGTGGGTAAAAAGTGCTTTGTTGGGCATAAAATTACATATCCTGTACACATATGCGCACACGCGCGTGCGCGTGCACACACACACACGTGTGTTGTTTTCATTGACACTGCCTTCAAGGCCTTTCCAGATTCCGCTAATTCCTCAGGATACCCTGTCCATCTTCAGAAAAGTCAAGGCCTCAGCCATCTTCCTGTGGACCTTACAGACCACAGCTCCTTTTAGAATTAACGAAACCTGTTTCTATGGGAAACTCAATCTTGGACCCAGCTTTCCCGTGTGGAATCTGTACGGATACGTCACACGGCCTTAGCCTCCTGACCCGGAGTTCTCACTGCCAGTCCCGAGGTACGGGATTTGGCAGGGCGTCCTCTTCTCCTTTCAGTAGAGTTTTCTCCCATGTTTGCAAGGAGTTCCGTGCCCTTCATGGCCGCCTCACACGCTGGTGGGAAGATGTGCCGGGGAATAAAGAGTGTGTTGTTGGGACCAAGCGCACATTCCGTTATTTTAACAGCGAAGGAATATGTTGAATGTTTCCCATGTTTTCCTAACAGACTTACAACTCTCGCTGCAGAACTTGAGGAAGCAGCTTGGAGAGCGGGCGGCGCGGTCCAAGAATAACATCCTACAATGCCTGTTTGTCCCCGTGGTTATGCAGGTGTGAGCGGGTGTTTGCGAAGCTGCTGTGAATAGGCCACTTTCTTTCCGTGCGGTAATTGCCCTGTAATTGGTGCCTCCAGAGAAGCTACAATTCAATGGCAGCGATCGGATCGTCCTCTTCCAACAGGTCCCCATAGGAAGCTCCGTCAGCCATCGTGTGCGGATGGAATGGGTGTAGAGGGAATTCTGGCGGTAGGGGAGAGGGAATTGGCCGAGATGCGCTTCAGGCTGGGAGATCCTGGTCTTTCCCTTCCTTTTCCATAAAAAAAGTCTTGTGATACTCAGCCCTTCCCTTCATGAACTCGGAAATAGTGTTTTCCACATTCCACAGAGTCCTGAGGTGAGATTCTGAGGGCTCCCTGAGACTTGCAGACGCCACCACAGTTTAAAGATGTGACTGTCTGCGTGGCCATTTGATTTCTGCCTCAGATACTTTTCCACCCGCGTGTGAGGCCTGTTTTTCACGTCACAGCTTCACTGATGCTGAAGTTGTGTGGCTGCCTGTC